CCCCCGAAACCCCGGACCCCCGCCGGGGTCCCGGGGCCGGGGGTCGACAACACTGGTACCCTCGTACGAGTACGGATTCGTACTTTTGTACTCGTACGCTAAGGGCCTTGTACGAGTCTTTTTTTTTTTTTGAATCCGGTATTGTTTTTGTTTTGTTTCTCCAATTCTAATAAGAATCTGAAGATGATGCTCAACCAAATGTTGCTTGTTTTGTGCTTTGCATCACATAGTTGTTTTTCAGATTTTTTTGATAACTTTTTTTTTTTTTTTTTGCTTTTTCGTACGGGAACGTACAAGACGTATAGGTTCCCGTACAGATCTCGTACAAATATTACCTGTACTTTTCCTACGGAAAGGCCCCGTACATGTAATGTTTCAATTTGTAGGTTGGGTAGCTGACCATGAAAGGTTTCCGGTATGTTGTATTGTTGTATCGGTTTTATTTTTGTATCCCATAACTTGTTATACGAGGATTTTTGTGTTTCTATATATTATGTTTTGCGTTATTATGCAAATATACTTCAATGCGTTGCTTTAAGGAATTGTTTATGTAGCTTTCTCGAAAATTCTTTTCGGTTATTCTTAAATTTATTACAGTTTTTTTTTTTTTTTTTTTTCTATTATTTATTATTATTATGTATATTATTTTTTATTTTTTTATTTTTTATTACATCATTAATTTATTTTTAATTTTTAGTTTTTATTATTTATTTACTAGGCTACCAGAGTGGCCCGGGGTCACTTGCCCGGTCGGGCCAAAAAAATTAAAAAAAAATAAAAATAAAATATTTATTTTTTAAAGTTTATTTTTTAACTTAAATTTGGTGAAAAATTTCGATGTGACCCTGAGGCAAAAGTTGTTTAGTTTCTTTTTTTGCATAACATAGTTTTTTTTTCAGAGTTTTTGGATTTTTGTTTATTATTTTTTTTTTTGCTGGGACCTTCCTTGGTCCTTGCACGAGCTGGCCACCCGGGACCCGGGCGGCCCAACTGGTAGCCTAGTTTATTTATATATTTATTTATTTATTTATAATTTTATTTATTTATTATATATTTATTTATTATTTATTTCTTTATTTATTATTTTTATATTTTAATATTTTATTATTTTACTTATTAGAAAAAGTAAAAAAAAAATGAACTTATGTGAGTGTGTATGTGTGTGCGTGTGTGTGTGTGTGTGTGTGTTTGCCCTTCCCCGTTCCCTTGTAATGGAGACCCCTATGGGATAAGTCCATGGTACAAGATGTTTGACCTACTCGAGCAGGGATAGGTCCTCCATCCGAACCAAGCCAAATGTTTGGCATACACACACCTGATTGGTTGCTTTGTTACCCATGCAGAATAATTAATAGTTTTTTTTTTTCTATGTATGTTTTCGCTTGTGTTTTGTTTCGTTTTTTCGATTAAAGAAGCTTAGGAAAATGTCATTAGTTTATTCATTGGGGAGAGTTATTATTGAGGCATCGTAGAATCTTATAAGGTTTACATCTTAATGGTTCATAGTTCGTAGGGTGTAGGAGTATTTTGTACGCAATGCCAAGTAATCTGTGTCTTTGAAATTCGTTTTGTGTAGGGCACAAATGGTTCGTTTTAGTTTTTCAACTACATGTTCGGGTTGTAACTCGATTGTCATAATGGTGTATATATACATGTCTTATGCAAAAAATATATTTATGACTTGCATCTAAATGTATACGTGAATCAACCCTAATAATAACAATGTTTGCGGGATTTTATAGCTTTTTTCATAGGATGGCGCCATGTGAAGAGTGATAATCTATTATAATAAACTATTCAGTGGTCAATGCGTATGTGGGAGCAAGCGTGGAGGGGGGGGAAAAAAAAGATAAGCGGGGCATATCCAGTTGAGATAACCGATTTACCAAAAACGTGGGCTCAATCTATCGCAGACACGACGAAACAGTTTTATTGTACCTGCTCGTTTTTTGTGTAGTACGTCATCCATAAGAGGCGATCATATGAAATAGTTTTTGCGCTCATATTATCTTATTCGTATAAAGAGTTTGTTATTATTAGTGCAGCGGAAGTTAGGTAGACAAACAAATATATTGTTTCGAAAATATCATACCAACAAGCAGAGAAATGATGCTTATTCCATACAGGAATAATCACGCATGTTATAAAAAACGGCAGGGAAATGATGCAAATTCTGTCATAACCTATCAGCTAGTAAAAAAACGAGCTCGGAGGATTAATCCGAAGTTAACAACTTATGGTACCTTATTAGCAGGGACGAAACAACTAAAATAGGATAGAAAGATAAAATTATGTGTTGTAGTATGATGTTTTTTTTTAATAGCACCACCAAGATGTTAGAAAGAGCGAGTATCTTGCGAAAGTCATGAATTTGTATTTTAGATCTTATAGGACGACAACATAACGTTATATAAATCTTAATCGACCTATCAACAAAATCATTCGTCAGATTGCAGGAAATGAATTACTAAATTCCAGTCTTGGGGTTATTTATATATTTTTGAAGAAAAACAGACGCATAAGCGGATAAGAAAATTAGAAAAGGTGTTTGTTTAAGGAACTTATACCTTACCTATCTCTTTTGTTATGAAATTCTTGTGCACGTCGTTAGAGGGCAATTCTTATACGCGAGTACGTTCTCCATGTTGCATGTCTTTCGCAGGGAAAGAGTAGAAACTATAATTTATCCATAAATTTACTAATGTTGGATCAACATGCAAAGATCAACATCATCGGGGTGTAATTGTCAGAATAGGCTTTGTTACTTTTAACGAATCACTATAATTAAGTTCGAAGAAGTCAGGCAATTCAGCTGCACAGCGGTCGAAGCGAGAATGAAATCATCTTATCATTAGGTATGCTCATAGCAAAGATTGTTGGTTATAGCGGGAAACAAACTTTATGGTGTTTTACGTAGTGATCATAACGATTATCACGTCCTGTCATTTTCATGAAGAACCATTGAAGGGATCAAACGATCTTATGCGCAACCTTTGAATAACTTGCTGTGTAATGACCAATACGCTAGGTTACTTGATCGGACGTCCGGGATGTCCGATCGGACGTCTAGTCGGACGTTGGACCAGACAGGGTATGTCTGACCTATCAAAAAAATAATAATAATAAATTGTGTGACTTTCACCTTGCATAAGGTGTATGCCACTAAAATTTTGACTCATTTGGACAATCAGAATAAACAATAAAAATCTTCAAAGATTCTAATCCCCACAAATACCCCTCCTATCCCCACCAAAACCCCTTGTACCCCCCCCCCCCAACCCCAAATACCACCCTATCACCAAATGCTCAGAAAAATCTGAAAACTTTTGTGCGTGGTCTCTAGGGCATGCGCAACATAGTCATTTTTTTATTTATTTTTTAATATTATTTAGTGTTAAAAGTCGTCATCCGAAAATCCGGACGACGGGGTTACTGGACGTATGGGGGAGACGTCCGGTATCCGAACCATTGGTAACCTAGCCAATACGCTGATTTGCACAAAATCTAGTTTTTGAGGAGATTTGGTGCCTCTATGCGTATCAGTAGCATTAATCATAGCATTAGTATCTTAAGTAATTATAACAATAACAAAAAAATAAAAATATAAAAGAAAGAAAAGAATCGTTCGTAACATTATGCAGTAGATGAGAAGTAGGGAGGTTTGTGTATAGTCGGCTGAGAACAATCCTATCATGTCACGTGAAGTATATGTCATATTCCGATGAGGGATATACAATAGTTTTTTTTGGTATGTAATACCGAAATTATCCCATAACGTTCAAGGATTTTGATTATAAGTATAGTAGCTCCGTGGTGGGATTGTAAAGGCTTATTGAGAGACAAAATTAGGGGACCAAACACAAACGATTAGCCACCATTAACATATAAGAGAGGCAGGGGTAAACACAAAAAAAATCGTATTGTAAGGTGTAGTGGCGCGTCATTTCTTAACAGGGTTGATTATCCAGGATTTTTTACATCTGGAGGACGTAAGTGCAACCATTCAAATTTGGATTGCAAAGGTAAATTGGGTGGCATATTTAGAGAATCAGCCGTCATCATCAGAAAGTCAGAGTATATAATATGGGGGAGTATCGCCCAAGATGTTATAATTCGGTCGTGTGTGAATCTACAGAGTGCTATGGATATATACTACTAGTAGCGTATTTACAAGGAGGTTTTAAAGGTGAATATATTAAGGCTGATTAGCGATCATGTGTCCAATTAGAGATGCAGCTAGTGAAGCAAGTATGCGGGATAAACGAGTATATCGTGGTTTTCAATTCTTGAGTTATATGTAGCAGTAGTATGAACTTATATGTAGTAATCTGTATGTATCAAAGCAGAGTCGTTCGTGTTGCGTATATGCGGGGTAAAAGGGCGAGGGGGTGGGCGTGAGGTACTGTTAGTATGTTGTCCTGCACATGGGTAAGGATCGCAAAAGATTACTTAGGATAAGATAACTGGTCTGTCAGCAAGGGAATCGACCCCAACTTAGGGACATGATATAATATCCGGGAGTGTATGTAGTGGGTGTATAGAACACGGCTACCCCGTACACAATGGGGAACCAGACCATGCATCATAGTCCAATCGTAAAATAGTGCCAAGTTAGCAGCAGGCATAACACAACATGGGTTGAGAAAAGAAAATTTTGATTATGTTTTTTAAGAGGATTAATCAAGGAGAGAGCAGATTAAAAGTTAGGTTGATGTTAGAAATGGTTATTGAAGACAACCATAAAGTGGGTGCACGCCCTAAAGCTCGCTTTTCGTTGCTTAGCACTCATAGCAGCTCATCAAAGGACAACCTCTGACTTCCGTTAGGGGGTTAAGAATGTGTGTTAGTAGTGGTAGAAGGGTTTGGAGAGGGAGGGAGTTAATAGGTATTTTGTTTATTAGGCAGACACAATGGGGTCAGAGTATGTAGAACCATACCTGAATGCGTAACGCTTGTGCAGAGGACGACATATCTTCGATGGTAGCCATCAGGTCCTCTAGAGATCAGCTGCCACGTGTCACCGTATGTAGCACCGAGGACGCGTCTTCAATTGCGAAGTTAGGATCGCACTGTCTAGTCAAGAGTGTGTTTGGTACAACAGTTGTGTGGGATCGTGTTACTGAGAGGCGTTAGTACGTGCTTAGAAGCATGCGAGTAGGGATTCAATGAGAGCATAGCATACCAGTGTAACTCGGGGCATGAGCATGGACAACAGAAAGCGCTTGTAGCACTGTAAGTGCAAGTGGTTATACTATACGTATGAGTCTCAAGCGACGAAGTTGCATATAGGAGATACGGGATGCCTGACGATAATCGTGCAGAAAGGGTGGTTTGTGTATTTCATAAGATAGAAGGGGTTTGCGTAGGGTAGATATGGGTGGAGGGGGATGCATTCATTATGGTCATTGCCACTCATTGGTATTGTAGCGTGTGTTTTTTTTTTTTTTTAATT